TATCTTAAATTTATATGCATAATTTTCTGAAAGAGAAAGGTGATTTGCTGCTCTAAAATGCAATTTCTGAGAACAAGGAAGTTAGAAACAGGATCATAATACAATTGACAAACATAACAAAAATCTGAATGAAAACAAAGTCTTTGTTACCACCCAGCACTTTTAGAAGATAATGGAAATCCTAAGTTCAAAGAGCACAATAATGGGACGTGAAGACATAATACCCACTTTCCCTTCCTGCCTTTCATTTTATTTTCAATGGACATGAAACTAGGCTGGGGAACTGGAAAAAAATTAGGATTTTCCATTTAATTATCCTTGGGTGTTCAAGTAATTATACAATGGATACACTTAAAAATTCTGCTGCATTAAAACCACACTAGGGGTATTTAGCCCAAAGATACACTATGAGCAGCTAATCAGCGTCTTATTACTAACCTATAACACTTCAACCTCCAAGCCAGAAGTATATAAACCTCTAAGAAAAATTTAGTAGGGCTGTGCTTAAATATGAATGGCTCCTCCAAAATTCTTGCTAAAGAGAGGGAAAAGTTAAACTACACAAGTTTCCTTAAGTCTATTTATTCTTTACCGTGATTCTGATTGTAAAAGTATGTTTCTGGTAAAGAAACCACATTTATAGATATCTTGTGCTATATCCAAATATCTTAGCCTTGTATAGTTACCTTGTTGTTCTTATTAATAAATGCTATATTTTGTATAGCTTATTACTCTTTTTCTATATTGATTTAACTGAAGACAAAAGCTACTTGTTACCTGATGAAAATATCACCATCTGGTGGTGAATACTGCAACCTGCAAACACATAATCCTTAAGACACTAATAATATTAACGTGTAACATAAAATCCCTAAGACTTTTCAGAGTTGTGACAGACAAAGGCAACTTATTTTAAAGACAACAAATATCCAGTGTTATTTAGAATATAATAAAGAGACACTTTGTTGTGTGTTACTCAGAAGCTTTTCTTGATAGGGATCTATAGTATTGGATTTTAGAAATCAATTTTACCTTAATTTCTTACTTTATAGCTACTTTCATTATAATATTTAATGCATCTCTATTGCATTCCAGAAACTGTTGAGGTACTTAGGATTTTACTGTGAACAAAAACAAAAGAAAGCTAATGTACAAACATGTACTGTGAGTTTGAGACACCTGTGAAGCCAGAGGACACTGTCCAGAGATTGCCTGCCCTTGACACTAGCTCCATGTTTCTGGGTGGTGGGGTGGGGAGGGCCTACCACTGTTGGGTTCAGTACTTCACCAGGACTCACAGAACTCATGAAAAGCTGTATAGTCATGGTTACTGTGTATTGCAGGGAAAGGATACAGATTAAAATTAGTAGCCCAGGGAAGAGTTCATAAAGCATAGTCCAGGAAAAGTTCTACATGTGGAAAGTACAACAGAATTTGTACTTTCATGAGTAGCATTACTTTCCTGGTATCAGTGTGTGACAACATACACAGGTATTGTCAACCAGGATAGCTCATCTGAACCTTGGTGCTCAGTCTTTGTTGGGGGTTCATTATGGTAGAAGTGGAGGAAAGCACGCTTGATTGCTCCCATGACTCATCTCAGTTTTTAGCTCCTGGGGAGGTTAAGCTGATACAGCATGACCCTAAGCCCTCACCCAAAATCACTTTGTTACTTCTGACTAATCCAAAGCCCCCAGACAAATAAGGATACTCCTAGCAGGCATGACATTCTAAGTGCTTAGAGATTCCATCCCCAGAAGCTGAAGACAAAGGCCAAACCTCCCTTTGGATAGGTTAAGTTCCTTACTACATGTTGACATATATGTGGTCATGCTAAGTACATGGGCATGGGCGTGTGTATGTATAATTACGCATATGATGATACTAGTGTCTTAACAGAAAATAAGGAGCAGAGGTAGTAAGTGTTGAGGAGTAAAATTAAAAGAAAGGGGCAAAGATGGAAAGAGTGCTTTTTCTAATAATTTAGTCAAGAAAGCCTTCAGTGATAAGGCAACAAAGACCCAAATGAAGTGAGGAAACATGCTATGTGATTATCTAGGGAAATCACAGTCCCAGCATAGGGAACAGAACCCAGAAATAGGAGTGTGCCTTTTGAATTTGTGCAACAATCAAGGTCAGTGTGAATGCAGATGAGTGAGAGAGAAAATGCAATTGAAGATAAACACAAACAGGTAAGAGACTGGAAAGAAAGGTCATTGGTGCCTTGCACATCATGGAGGAACCGTGTGCCTTATTCTACATGAAGTGACATGCCATAGGTGGGTTCTGAGCAAAGGAGTGACATAATCTAACGTCAAAACTCAGTGTTGTGAGGAGGCAAAGTCTATACAGAGACAAAGATGACCAGATAAAGACCACTAAGGGGGCTATTTTAATAGTCTGGGTTAGAGATGATGTTGGTTAGGAGGAGGGTGATGGTAGTGGAAAGTTGATAGAATTGTACTCTGCTTCTATAAATAAGAGGATTCCCTCAGTAAGATTAAGTAAATTACACGTGTTTAAAATGCCTATCTATGAAGGCTACAGTTTTAAGGAAAAAATTACCTCTGACATCTGATTTCTGTCAATATGCTATTATCTTGATGTCTCTTAACTCTTCCCTGTATAACTGAAATAAAAACCTGAAAACTTCATTTCCTAGTCTCTTCTGCCAGCGAAGTTCAGGCTTAGGACCTGCCAAAGAGATGCACTTGCATGAGATTTGGAAGGTGGTGCTGCAGAGAGCAGTGGCAGCAGGTAAAGGAATGTTCCTTGTCAGATGGGCCTTTCTTCTCTTAAGTCACGGATTAAGGCTGTAGGTTCCTTCTACTTTATAGTTCTACATTTTTAACATGTGGTTCTTATGATCATTATGGTCATCTGCATCAGCGGGCAGATGGGAAAAGGAATGAGAGATTCTTCATTGGAGTTTCTAGCGAGACTGGACTGGAAGAACTGCAC